GGAGGTCTTACGGGTTTGGAACGACATGAGGGTGAGTAATTAATGACAGATTTTTCATTTTGGGGTGAACTAACCCTTTAAATTATATCCTTGTATAGATTGTAAAGTTAGTGGTTTAAAGTTTATGTTACAAACAGCTCAATTTTGAGGTAAATGACAGCATATACACGATGCTGTTGATAGAGTATTGATAAAGTAAAAAAAAAGTAGATTTTTGAAACAGTTTTGTGCCATTATGACACTTCCTTCATGAGGACCACAAGCTAGGTCACCACAATGGTTTTACTATCATTGCAGAGATGGAAAAACAAGCCTCCACACAGACACGCACAGTCACTGACCTGCTGAGCACACTCTCTGCTCGGTCCTGCTCGTCCTCTTGAGTTTGTGCAGAGAGCCGATGAGAGCAGGGAGATCCCTCAGCAGCCGACTGGCCCGTCATACTGTACACACAACACACCTATACTTACAGCGGGAAAAATAAGTAATAGAAGAGTAAATATATTTCTAAAGGTGCTGTTGACTTGAAATTTTCACCAGATGTCGGTAACAACCAAAGTAATCCATACATACAAATAAAACAAAACAAATAATTTCAGAAATTAAGTTATGTGTAATAAAATGGAATGACACAGGGAAAAAGTATTGAACACGTGAAGAAAGGGAGGTGCAAAAAGGCATGTAAAGTCACCAGCTGAAATCTATCAGTAATTAGAAAGCAATCCTGCCCCTACAGTCAGTGGAAATTAATATTAGCTGGTTCAGTCCCAACACCTACACTGGGAAAAATGATGACGTGTTCAATACTTATTTTACCCGCTGTACATGCCATTACAACTTTTATATAAAGTTAAATATATAAAACAATAACAGTTTGTTAAAAAATGTTATGGACATCCGCAGTTGGGCGAAATTTTATCCCCAAAGGCATTACTCCAGTGACCTTGTCACTGCATGTGCCATTACATTCCACTGACACTCGCTAGATTTCAGCAGAACATGGCCCTTCAGACTTCTCAGGAGCGCATGGAGTCAGTGGTGAAGTGCAGAGGGACAGCAGGTCAGGGGAGTTACCAGCAAACACTTCTCACCTGGGAATGTGGTCACTATGACGATCACCTCAGCTTACCGTAAGATATAGACAGAACAGGGAGAGAGGGACAGCGAGAGATTTAATAACTACTGCTTCAAAAGTGGACTGAGGAATGATCTCATGGTTAATGATGGAAAGGCTTTAGGGACTGATGGATGGATGGATGGTGCCATGTCTAGATGAATGTTAACAATGTTTTTGTTAATTACCTCATCATTAAAGAAACACAGAACACAGAGTGACACAACTCTTCCCAGAGGACAAACACAGAGCCAATGTCTCATGAGAAATCATGGTTGCTAACACAAGTTCTTAAGACAGACACACACACACACACACACACACACACACACTGCTGGAGTTTTATACATTGCCAAAAGCATTTATTTTGATAAACCAAAATAAAATAAGTGAACATAAAGATCAGTGCTTCTCTAAAGACATAAGACTTTCACTGCTTTGGACAAAATGATGAGACTTTATTCAAATCATCATCTTGATCACATGCATTTTAAATGACAAATTCCCACAATCCTTGGAAGCAGAGGCAAACCATGTGTGCAGCAGGAAGAAACAGAAGTCACAATTTTCCTCAACATTTGTCTGATATCAACACTGGTGTAGGTTAATGTGGTAGGTTAATAAGGTATTTGAAATACAAGCAGGCATTAAAACATGAACGCAAATAAAAAGAGCCCTATTACAAAGAAATGTATAATAATCTTTAATTCAATTATTACTGACTGAGTTCAGAGCAGGACCCCAGAACTAACCAGATGACAGCAGCGTTACCATGTAACATTTGTAATTTTGTCTAATTGAGTTTCCTGCATGTTATTGTGGACAATGAAAGCTGCACACCCATCCTCAACTGCATAAAAAGAAAACTAAACACAAATAAACAATGAGGACAATATTTCCAGGGGGGATAGGTTTCTTACAAAATCGCATATACACAATCTCTCTCTTTCACACACACCCGGTTCTCTTTAAACCTGGTCTCTGAGTTTGGCCAGTCTCTGAGAGAGATCGTCCTATAGTAACAAAGACAAATTCAAAACCATTAGAGTACATATCGGACATGAGTTTGTCCGTATTTCTATATTCAAGTATGAGTGTGTTATAATACCTGTTCTGCAGATGCTACGCTGGTTCCCACTGATCCTGTCTGACCTTGAGGAAGCTCCATATTGAGGTCCAGCCTAAACACACAAGTACAGACATTGGTTTTTATCCTAAATTGGGTTGAGTTACAAAAGAGATTTCATCAATTTAATATTGGTAGTTATTATCGGATTAAATTGTCTTATTAAATAAATAATTGAATCATAGTCTGATATATTATTTAGTAGTAGTAGTAGTAGTAATTAATTGTACACTACTGTTCAAAAGTTTGGAATTAACTTTTTTTTTTTTCTATTGAGCAAATGCATTGAATAGACCAAAAAACGGACATTTACCATGTTACAAATGGTTTCTATTTTAAAAAATGCTGTTCTTTTGAACTTTTTTCTTCAAAGAATTCAGAAAAAAATCTCGGTTTCCACAAAAACAGTAAGTAGCATATCCTTTTTTAACATTTATATAAAAAAATGTTACTTGAACACCAGATCAGCATATTAGAATGATTTCTGAAGGACCATTTGACACTGAAGACTGGAGTAATGGTGCTGAAAATTCAGCTTTGCCATCCCAGGAATAAATTACATTTTAAAATAAATAAAAAAACAATTAATCTACATTTTAATATTTCACAATATTACGGTTTTTACTGTATTTCTGATCAAATGAATACAGCCTTAGTGAGCATAAGAGACTTTTCAAAAACCTTAATAAAAACGTAACTTTTGAATGGTAGTGTGTGCATTATAGTATCTACTTAAAAAAAATGAATCTCAGCATTTGAAATGTTCTTACCCGGCCTCATCCGCCATTTCCATCATCAGAGCATCGACTTGACCCTAAAACACAGCACAGTGGCACAAAAGGCAAAACAACTACTATGTCAGTGTATATCTGGCCTACAGTGCGGTCATTGTAGTAAGCGAGTGTATGTATCACCTGTGGTGTAGTGAGTGTTGTGGTGCTGCTCATTGTGTCCTCCATCTGAGCCGTCTGTACATCCAGAGTTTCAAACTGACGCTCAAACTTATCCATTAGAGCTGAAATCTGACAAATCAGAACACTGCCAGTCAAATCTAGACAAATCAGATTACCGCAATTGTTTTTATGAGCTGCTCAATGAAAATACTTCAAGAACAAAGTCGTCGTCGTCCTCCCACCTTCTCAAGGTTCATGCTCTTCAGGGTTGCATCCATGCCCTTCACCACCCCAGCCATAGATTTGGTGACCTGGAGAATAAAAATCAAGAGTTGACTGTTAAATCTACTGGATAATTACTTGGGTATGTCTAGTTTAAAAGAAAAAAAAAGCAGTTTGTGTACCTTGTTCATGGTGACTGCTGTCTGTACTCGCGCAGCCACCGCATCCACTCTTGCGCTCATTCTGAGGAAGTTCACGGATTGGTTCTTCTGGCGAATGGCGTTTTCCGCATGTATCCGGGCAACCTCCATATTGCCCTTCTGGACTGCCTAAGTTACACAGACATAAGCACTGGATCATTAGGACACTGGTCACCAAAACACAGTCTTTGACTTAAAGCAATACATTACATATGGCAGAAAATGCATGAGCTTAATTGTGGGCAGAATTGATGATCAGCTTGCTTTACAAAGTTTAACATTAATGAGAATATCTTGCTCTGACTTGTCAATTTCAAAACAACATTTACTTTTAAACACTTAAGTACAGTTAAATGTGGTTAGTTTTGTACTTTCACTCAAGTAAGTTTTTAGCTAGATATTTTGCCTTTTAGATTAATATAATTCTTGACAATATATGTTAACTTTCTACTTTTTTTTTTTTAAGTATAATTGATCAGTACTTTTTACTATGCAAAACTTAATACTCATAAAGCAGCTCTGAAATCCCCAGCATTCATGTAAAAGTGTTGGGTGATGATGCTACAGCCTAAAGTTACTTTATCTCAATGGATGGCGTGTCTAAATGCCATTCAATGGAAAAGTATGTTTTGATTTTGTTTGTTTGTTTACCTTCTTGACCTTGGCCTTCTCCGCTTTCTCTTCTTTGTCGCATTTCTTGGAACTCCGCTGAAGTTCTTTGGCTGCAAACTTGAGGTTGAACAAATTCTCTGAAGTCACACGTCAAGGAAAGCTTTTTTAAAAGAACCGCAGTGTTTGTGTTATTATCTGATACCTTCAATAGATTGAAGACCCCTCTACACTGTAACAATGACATTATAAACAAACAATGTACACCGTCTCGAAACTGAACAAACTAGTTTGACAGGCCGAGTTCAGATAAACAACACATTGGCGGCGACATTACGTAATTCCACGTCACGGTCGTACCTGGCGGAATTTGACGATGTTTTTGATAACGCAATTACCAAAATAATCACTTTTAACTATATAGACTCACTGACACAATTAAAAACAGTACAGGGAGCTCACGCCCTTATTTAACTTTCCGATTAAATCGTTTCACTACGCTACATACTAAAATCCATTCTCTAAATCAATCTCTGGAGGTATCCACTGACGAGAAAAGAAGTCCCGCAAATGCGTTGTTTGATATAACGGCTATATAACGTGACCCGACCTGTTGGTATATACTAAAATGTTGCTAACACGGAGTTAAACCCATAAATAGCTCTCATTAAATGTGATTATGGTCCCATCGACAGTGAATCTCGGGCCCGACCACTCCAGTCCGCGAGGATACTTTCCATGTTGGACATAACAATCCGGTTCTGCTGCTGGCTGGAGCTTCTTGAGGAAGTGTGACGATTAGACGGCAGTAGTTTTTAGTCCAGTCTCTGCCAAGCTCTTCGTGTGGACCATTAACTGTCCCCCGCTGTTTGGTGTAATTTTCCTGTATTCACTTCCGGCTTCTCCAAACAACTGGAGTGATGTCACAGTCATGCGCTCAGGTCAGCGATCGCGGTGATGTCACGGGCAAAACATGAAAGAGACGCTAACGCGCCTACTGAAATTTGATACATTTTTTTAAATAAATATAATTTCAAAATAATAATAATAATAATAACAACAAACAACAATAATAAATAAATTAAACAATATATAATAATACATAATCGTTTTATCTACATTCATGTCCTTTTGGCTGGTAGAGATCAGATAGAGACTAATCAGTTTTACACCTTTATTATAAAAAACAATCCAAAATGTGTAGAAAAAAAGGACACATACGTTAATGGCATCTAACACCTTGACCATCTTCACTATTATTGTTACTGAACAGATAGAGGCTTTGTCTCAACATGACAACAGATCCCTGATACAAAAAAAACCCAAAAAACAAACAAACAAACAAAAAAACAAAAAAAAAACCCTTTCTAAACAAACAGAACCGGAGGAGGTTAATGCTGTATCTTGATTGGCTGGGAAACATCTTTCAAACAGGTGAGGACAAGCAATTCAGGGGTTGGATGGCGAGGGTGCTTTCCAACTTTCCAAAATAGTGCAAGAGAGAAAAACAAAAGCTAGAAAGAGGGATAAACAGCAGAAGAGGGGAGGGAGGGAGGGAGAAGATGAGAAGATGAGGGGAGGGAGGGGAGGGAGAAGATGAGGGGAGGGAGAGATGTACCAATGTTTTAAAAAAAATCATTTTTGTACACAGCCTTTGACACCACAAACCAAACTCAGATTCAACTAATGATCTCTTCAATTTATAATGCTTTGTCTGCTACGTCCTGAAAATACACCAGTGAAACACATACCATTGATTACATGATCACATGAGATGATTTTCAGAGAGGATTTCTTGTTGTCTTCCTTGTTTAAAACAGCCTTTTCAGGCTTTCATGATAATGGCGTAGAAAAAAAAAAACATTGCAAAAAGTAAAATAAAAAAGGTGAGAAAACAAACAAGTCTGTTGCTCTTCAGATAGCTTCAATTTACAGTATATCTGAACCAGTCAGAGTCCAGGGTTCAGACATCACCTCACATCCACCAATCAGCTGCCACATATACTCGACATAAAATGTGCAAACATTATCCATACTAATGTTCATCACTAATGAATCAAAGTGTATCATACAACAGTGGAAAAATATAAATATATTCTGTAAAAACAGTCTGAAGTGTTTTTGTGTATTTGAACGAGAAGGGAGAAGTGTATTTTCTCCTACGTTTCCCATAATCCTCCTCGTGTCTGTGCTCAAATGGATGAGGATTACCATGAGTGATCTGGAAGTAGTTAATGCATCTCAGAGTTTGCACCTGCACCAAAGTTGATTATATTATTGAACAGAGGTAAATGCATAACCTGATTGAATAGTAAAGTCAAGTCAGTTGAACTACATGGCAAACTTAAGTGTTCTCAATGACCCCCTGTGTAAACAAGGGTACGAAAAGAATGCAAGATGGAGAACGTGAGAGGAGAGCAGCACCATCTTTCTGACAGAATAGATTCCTTGGAGGGAAAGAAGCCAGAAACCAAAAGAATCAAAGCCAAACAGGAGGAGGAAAGGAGGATGAACACAGAAAGAGGGGAGGAAAGTGGACTCTTTACCACTCTAGACCAGAATAAGGCAGAGGTGGCTGATTAGTTGATGGCATGGTAGTTTCTGTGGAAGCCACAGAGAAGAGAGAGCACCACAGTCCAGGAAGAGTCATGAACATCAAGTTTCGGAGATGACAACAACAGTAAAAAACACAAAAAGACAGTACTAAAAACTAAATCCCTGCAGTATCGCTGTAGTTAGTCTGTGTAAAGATCAGAAAATGTCAATGTGTCCAGCCCATAAGATGGCTGACCCTTGCACGTTCAGTCATGCGACGGACCCTTCCAGAACGCGACATTCCTAGATTCAGCGGGTCTGTCGTCGGCCCCTCATCCTCAGAGTCATCGTTGTACAGAACAGTCCTTCGACCCTGGTTACGAGTGTTAACCCGCCCTGACTTTGGAGTACTTTGATTTGACCTCTGACTTCCAGTTTTTGTTGATGACGAAATGACATCGTCTTCCTCCTCCTCCAACGACTCCTCTTCCTCCTCGGGTTCCTCCTCTTCCCCCTCGGGTTCCTCCTCTTCCCCCTCGGGTTCCTCCTCTTCCTCCTCCTCCTCCTCAGGGTCCTCCTCTTCTTCATCTCTTTCATTTGCTCGCCGTGCTCGTTTCACAGGAGTTGTTTGTGCTTCTCCTTTGCGCTTTCGCTTTGTGTTATCGACATAGGCCGCTGCCGCTTTGCCTTTCTCTTTGTGTTGCGGGGCTTTGCTGTAGTCGTGATCGCCGCCGTCGGCAAAGCCGCCCACCTCAGCCCCGCTGTCATCGCTCTCGGACGAAGAAGATGAGGTCCTGGAAGAGGACGACGATGCGGATGTTGAGGATGATGATGAGCTGGTGCTCTCGCATTCAGAGACCTTTCCCTCTTCAGGTAACGTGGCCCCTTTCCGACGTGAACTTCGACCTCCGTTTGGCAGTAAGCCATGGCCACCTATATATAGAAGCACAGAGGACACAATTTCATGGTCAAATTGGAGGTAAAGCAAATTCTTTGCAATATACAGTACAATTCAAAAGCTTGTGGTCAGTAAGATTTTTTCATGCTTTTAAAATAAGTCTCACCAAGGCTGCATTTATTTGATCAAAGATACAGTAAAAACAGCAATATTGTGAAATATTATTACTATTTAACACAACTGTTATATTTAAAAATATAATTTATTCCTGCGATGGCAAAGCTGATTTTTCCGCATCATTGCTCTAGTCTTCAGTGTCACATGATCCTTCAGAAATCATTCTAATATGCTGATTTGCTGCTTAAGAGACATTTCTTATTATCAGTTTTGCTGCTTAATATTTTTGGTGTGTGATACTGTGATACTTTTTTTTCTTACTAAAAAAAAAAAAAGATCAAAAGAACAACTTTAAAACAGAAATCCATGAAAAAGTCCTTGCATTTCATTAATTTCTTTAAAAAATAAAATCTTACTGAACCCATGCTTTTGAAAGGTAGCATGTTTGTATATTAGTGTGTACCTGAGGATTTGTTTGGTGTAACACGGCTGCGTGTAACTCTGTTGGCTCCTGCCTGCTCTGATGAAGAGGACAAGGAAGATGAGGAGGAAGAGGATGAGGATGAAGAGGATGGCTGACTGTCTTCATCGACTTGTGCAACATTCAAATCTGGTGAAAGAAGTGAACATTTTATTTAGAATTCATATAAACTAAATTCATCATTATTATGATAATTTCCAAGCATGTTCCAGTGGTTGATTTTAGACAACCCCAATTTGGAAAGAATTTTTACCACTGGTAATTATGACATCTCGAACTCTCTTACACACCTTGAGAGGATTTCCGTGAGCGGCCTTTTGCAGACACCTGGGAAGTTTTCTTTCCTGATTTCGGTTTCCCTTTGGGGCTGCAGAACACACAGGTTTAAAAAGGGGTAAAAAGAAATGAAAAATCTATGTGCAGTCTGTACCATGGATTTGACAGTGGATGTACATGTTTTACCTGTTGGGATAGGAGCTCTGTAATCTCTTGCTGCAACTGAGTCTCTGTTGACTCCTACGTTGATTCTGAACTGCAGATTTGTGGTCTGAGATTATGGGAATTATCTGATTCTCAAAGAACGCCGAGAGACTCAGAGTCATACTGTAGATCTAAACAACACACAATATCGGAGTCATACTGTGGATCAACTGTAAGACCTAAACCTACTCTGACTATTTTACCATAGCTGCATAAAGGCAGACAAAAAAAAAATTAGTCCAAGGAAGACTGCAAATCCGTATTAAAAAGACAGAAATATACAGTTTTAGTTACACAAAAGTACAATTAACAGCACAAGAGCATTAGAAAAAAAAATGTTCAAAAGTTTGGGGTCAGTAATAGGGCTGCAACAAAAGATTATTTTGATAATCAATTAATCTAACGATTATTAGAACGATTAATCGACTAATCGTCGATTTCGCTGATTAATCAGTAGATATTTATTGATTATTCAGCTTTTGCAATTAGTTCAAATACATATTCAAACAAATAAATTAAGGTAATCACTTCAGCTTTTGACAGTCATATTATGTAATTACAATTATACAATTCATTTATACAAATAAATATATTTGGCACACAAAATGAGATGGCAGAGAAACTCTTATTCACCATTTAATTAGCTATATGAGAAAGTAGCTGAATGACACATCATTCTGCCTAAAATCTCTTTTTGTAAGTCATATGGATAAGAAACAAAATAAAGGTTAAGTGATAAGACGTTTTATTTTTGGATAAACTATTTTATTCACAACATAATCTCTCTTAAAATATCTTATAGTGTTATAATAATCAAAACAGTCCTGAGCTAGATCAAGCTTTGATCTCTGCAAACCAAACTATAACGTCTCCGGTTACGTATGTAACCTTGGTTCCCTGAAAGGAGGGAACGAGACACTGCGTAGCTTACGCTTGGGGTTATCCTCCTCCTCCTAAAATACTGAAGCCTTATTGCATCACACCGGTAAATCTTACCGGACAATGACGCTCGAGCGCTCGAGCTAGGGGCGGAGCCACCCACTATACAGGTCGACGTCCAGCGTCATTACCTCAGAATCTTTCGACTGTTCGAATAGGTACAAGACTCTGAGGATTACAACACAGCAGCGCACGCAGTGTCTTGTTCCCTCCTTTCAGGGAAACGAGGTTAAGTACGTAACCAGAGACGTTTCCCATCAAGTTCGGACTCTTGACACTGTGTAGCTTACGCTTGGGAAATGCGTACAATCCCGCTGTGTTGTATTCCACACACCCGGTGAGAAGAGTCTAATGAGCCAGACCCAATAGAGCCGAGCCCGTTAACTGCTTCATAGAACACTCAGGGAAAACAACGCCCTCCAGCTTTAGTCGAGCGGGACTAAGCACAACACTACACATGGACTGGCCGCAGTACTGCTGGAGCCACGTACATATACAGCATT